GAGACCCCACCTGCACTGCTGCATCCAGCTCTGGGGTCCTCAGGACAGGAAGGACCTGTTGGAGCAGGTCTAGAGGAGGGCCACCAAGTAAATTCGAGGGATGAACCTCTCCTATGTGGAAAGGCTGAGAGAAATGCAACTGTTCACCCTGACCTTACAGTACCTGAAGGGAGCCTACAAAAAAGCTGGAGAGGGACTTCTTATAAGTATGTAGTGAGAGGACAAAAGAGAATGGCTTCAAACTGAGAGCAGGTTTTGATTAGATTTTGGGAAGAAATTATTTACTGTGAGGTTTGTGAGGCACTAGCGCAGGTTGCCCAGAGAAGTTCTGGATGCCCTATCCCTGGAAGTATTCACAGCCAGGCTGGATGGGCTTTAATCAACGTGATCTAGTGGAAGGGGGTTGGAACAAGGTGATCTTTTAAGGTCCCTCCCAATCTAAGCCATCTGATCATTCTACATTTGAAGCAAAACTGTTGCTCTGAATGACTGAGATGAGTTTATTAAAAGAATCTTTAACTCAAATGACAGACCTAAGTATAAAAGATATGACTGTGTGTGTGAATGCATGCATGTGGCAGAGTGGGAAGACGTGGAATTACGTAGATATGTATGTTACTGGATAAAACAAGATCATATTTGGGAAGAAAATAAAACAGATGTAATTCCTGTGGTCTTGAAATCTTCTCTTGGAAAGGTTCAAATTATTCAACTCTTCTAGATCCTTCCCAAGTTTCACAATTATTGGTCAATGTCACTCAAGACATAATACAATGAAACACACCGAGTGCTTTTTTTACTTCCTACTAAATGATTAGAAACCCTTCTCTGATTCATTTTTGCCCACATGAAATTACAAATAAAACCAAAACCAAGTAAGGCAACACCTTTCCCTACTACTAGGTGAACTGTGGCCCTCAGATGTGCAAACACAACCACTGTCATTATACTTCGAGGGTCCCTATTCCAAGGGAGCTGTAGTGCAAGGAAGAATGCAGAGAAGGTTATCTACAGGCTCATCATTCTGAAGCTAGATGATGAGAAGTCATGACTGGAGTTTGTTAGTTCTTCAGTCAGTCAAAGTCATTACTTGGCTTTTTTACTTACTTGCATTAAATTAAGACTGCTTGAAGGCACATGGAGCAATTTACCTTATATGAACTAAATGAATTAACAAAATTGCACATGGAGAAACCATTATCTGATCCCTGGTTGCAATACTTCACACTTCATTAGCATCTGTCATCCAAGATCTCAAAGCATTCAGAAGCCAAAATCTTCTAAAGATGAGTCCTACCTTGCTCAGAGGTTACTGCTTGCACAGGTTTGTGTCTGCCTCTCACTGAAGGTGTCTGTGAGGCCTTTAGAGGTCCAAGACCATATTCACAACAGAAGTCTGAAAGTCTGACTGAAAAGGGCAGATCTGCAGGCACAGGTCCATGCACAGCTGGAAGGGGCACCAGGAGGCACACAGGGACCAAATGCACAAACAGAGCATTCTCATTACCACATCTCCACAGCTCTGCTTACATAGGTCTTATGGCACCTGACAGGGAAAAAGTTGAGAGCACAGTTTCTGCAAATGTCTGTATTTGAGGCAACTGTTTTGGAAAGGCCAGACACACCCACCCATTATGCCTCACTCATCCACAAACACACATCTTTGGATTACTGTATTCCTTCTCATTTCCTGCAAATAAGTTTGTCCTTTCTTTTTCTCAATATACTGCAAGAAGATACAATTGAAAATTAAGGAAATTAATAAATAAGAAAGACAAAGCACATTTGTTAGGATTTTTTGGCCACTAGGGAATGAAAATAGCAGTCTCCACCACAGTGTGACACATTATGGGGCTTCATGAATGTAAAAGCCATGATCTCACAAAGAGAAACATTCCTCCAAAGAATGTAGACAGGGAACTGTGGGCAGAAGATTGAATTTTGCACACTTTTAACTACTGGTATTTCATTTCCAACACTGAGCTCCCTTGGAAAGAGATGAAATTCTCAAGGCGTGGCACTGAAGAAGACTCAGGATGGTGAGAGCTGAGGACAAATCTCTGTATTTCTGACTGTCAATGTCATACCTGTAGAGTTGATTGCAATGTCTGAAACAATCCAGAACTGCACAGGTATAATGCTGACATAAAGCTTTAAAAATTCCATTCTCTTTTATATGCAAATTCTTTTCTACACATCACAGAACCTCATCCAATGACCTGATTTCACACACTGAAATTTCTGGACTAATTTACAACAAATAAACGGACGGATGCACACACATATATGTCATCCTGATTCTTAAGATTTTCTAAAGCTTTCTGAGTTTACATTCTGTTAGAAAACTTTCCCACACAATTTCTATAAACAACATATTGTTTCGCATTCCTTCATGGGGATGGAGAAACTTGATGTCCTAGTGGTTTGTCCAATGTCTTTGGAGAGGTGGTCCATTCACTTTCCAATCCACTGTCACCTTTGGAAAAGTATAAAAGTTGGACCCAGAAAATAAACCTTCTTCTTTACCTTACAAATAGCAGGCGGCTCGCGTTGTGCTTTCACGTGTCCTATAGCAACACATATATATATACACATTATATAAAACACACTTAAACATATCACAGAAAGACTGCAGAAACTGCTGGTAAGGAGCGGTCAAGACCAGACCCTCCTTAAAGATATGATGAGTGACATGATAACATTTTGCATCAAAAACAGATTTTAGGATTCAAATTTGCATTCTTCATGCAAGATCCTTAGCCATCAGGATCCAGAGTATCTGGATATATTCTCTCCCACAGCTGATGCAGCTGATATAAAAAATACTGAACTTTCTAACTCAGTGTAGTTGAAATTACCAAGTTGGCTTCATAGATCACTAGTTAAGACGCATGCTTAAGAACCTGAAGGATACAATCACAGAATGATTTGGAGGTTTTGCTATTTGGCCTTGGTTGTGGGGTTTTTATCAGAGGGGAAAATGAGTAAGAATTTTCTGATTAAGCACAATTTTTAAATACACTATATTTTTGTCACTGTATCCAAACTCTCTTCTTTTCACATTGGGACTACATCCCAAAGAACAGCAATCAGCACACACACAGCAGTACTGACTAGAGAGTGTGTCTTACTCTTTTTAGTCTACATGCACTACATAACACAGTAGGGCAAACATTCAGAAAGGTTCGGTTTTCTTTCAGGCACCAACACAAATCTGATTTCACAAGTATCTGGCCTGCTGAGTGAGCACTGGCACTGACTTCTTGGAAAAATGAAGGCAAGGAAGACCCCTATATGTTTGCAAAGTACAGCAGACTCCTGCAATTCAGCATGCTGGTGGTTGCATCAAAACTACAGCACATGGGTAGATACCACATTACCAGTAGATAACCTATTACCACATCAGTATCAGCAGAGACATTCAATACATTCAGTATTAAATTTTTCTTTCAGAAACAACCCAACCACACTGAGGTGAGTGCCTACTGACTTTAGTGGGCAGAGGATATCACCATGAGTCTCTAAAGAGAGCATCACACAACACACAACACTTTTCATATCTGTCATGATATATTACAAGGTAAACTTCCACTGTTTATTCAGCATTAGATTTTTTCAGAGACAGAAAATACAGTTAATAAATGAAATACAACAGAATATCCTTTTTAAAAAGCCCAAACAAATATCACCTCTTATTAATAGGCTGTCTTTCTTTCCTTCCACAACACCACATTCCAGGATATTTTGAATGATTCCAGTTCAATTTTTATTAAAGGGGAAGACTCAA